GTGGTTTCGGGGTAGTTGAATGTCTGTTAACAACCATTTTTCTCTGTGGCTCGTATTTTTATAAAGTTTAGGGTTTGATTTTGGTAGTCAGAGTGGCTCACCCATGGTGACCTAAGGAGTACAATGTTTGAGATGCCACCACAGAAGCTTTCCTCATTGGCTCTTACTGCTTCCTTCTGAGAACAAGGCACCCCTGGAACTGCTTGAGAAGGATGTAGCAGTTAGTTTGTCTAAAACCATTTACAGTCACACAGTTTTCGTGGACAGATTTAGTGGCTTCTGAGCAGTAAGTTGCTCTGAGGAACCTGTCTATGGGCACAGAGAGCGTCGCTGGATGCCAGTGACCCCTGGGCTCCACAGCCAGAGTGCCCGGTCCCTCCCGTTCTGGCCAGGGGCAGAGGACTCTGTGCTGTGGCACTGTGTGCGGGGAGATGTGTGGAAGGTGGCTGGGGTGTGGAGGGGTTCAGAGCAGGCACCAGTCCTGAAAAATGGGCTGGTATGACTCTCTGATCAGCTTCTACATTAAGCTCTGGTGCAGATGGGCCGTCCAGTACAGTCTGTGGACACTGCAGATTTCAGCTGTGGGAGTTGTTTGCATGAAAATAAGCAGCTACTCTAGCTGTGTGGCATTGGTCAAGAGACCTGAGAGAAATGAGAGAATCACTCTTCATCCTTGGGATCAAGGCAGCGATCTACAAAGATTTTCTGAGAGCAGGAAACACTACCCAGGCATGTTTCTGTTTTTTGACAGTGCCTATTTGTACATGCAGTGCAGAATGTTGTAAAGACTCAAGATTCTGATTCAGAAAATAGGAACCTTTAAGCTGGATACTCAGGAGGCCGAGGCAGGAGGGTCACAAGTTCAAGGCCAGCCCGGGCAACTTAGTGACTAAGTGAAACCCTGTCTCAAAATAAAAACAAAAAAAAGGGCTGAGGGATAGCTCAGCTCTCCTTGGGCTAAATCCCTGGTACTGGGACCATTTAAAAAACTCCATACTTATCATTTCAAGTATGAGCATATAACTTCATGGATACATTTAGAGTTTAAAATATCTTGACTTATTCACTCCAGAAAATTTTTATCCTTAATTCTCATTCAGTTCCCACCATCACAGTTGATAGTTTGCCCCCATTCAATGTAATAGATTTGCGCGCCTGCACCTGGATGTGTGTGTCTGAAAGACAGCAGGACCTGCTGTCCCCGGGCCCCTGCTTCTGGCTTCCATCCAGAAGGAACTGGAACTGAGAGGATGGGGCCCAGGCAACTCTCGGCTGTAGGGGCCTCATCCTGCCCTGGCCTGCGCCTCCTCTGTCCGGCTGCTCCCTTGCCTGCCCTGCGCCTGCGGGTGCCTCCCTTGGTGCTGGCCTGGCACCGCCCTCCCCTCTGTCCCTCTGGAGGCTGGTGCAGTGCAGCGCACTCTTGCGGCCAGGCCAGCTGCTGAGTGAGTGGGGCTGGGGTCCTCTGGGAGGTTCCTGTGACCACAGACAGCAGCTGCCAGCAGCACAGAGCTCACGGCTCAGACAGAAAAGGGGATTTGTGATAGGTGAGGCAGGAGGGGGACCTGAGTGGGCACCGTGGTGCCCGCCTGTTTGGTCTCCTGTGTCCCTCCGTCCGTCTGTCCCTGCGAGCTTCCTCCTCTCTCCCTGTCCCTCTTTGCCCCTCACTGTGTGCCATGGGCCAGGTGTGGTTTCAGACACAATGGAAACATGGACGCTTTGCGTTCATGTGGTCCATGGTGGGGCGGCACAGGTTGGAATGAGACGTGGCTGTGGCTGTTGCGAAGGAAGCAGGGTGCCGGAGCCCAGCTGGCTGTGGGCGCCTGGGACCAGCTCGTGGGACCCGCCCTGGAGCCTGGGGACCGGCTGGGGACAAGCTGTGGCACGAGGCCTGCACACCCGGCCCTGGGGAGGGCAGAGCAGAGGGGCACCTTGTGGGCTTCTCTTGTCCCTGGTGGCCTTGTGAGTGGAGGCTGTCCCGCCCCCAGCATCGAGCCTGTCCAGTCCCCTTGGGCTCTTCTGTCCGGCCGGTTCTGATCCTCGCCCCAGGACAGTGTGATTGGCCCAGTGGGCATCTTGGCAGTGTCTCCAGCCCTGTCGCGACTGAGCCTTGCGGCGTCTGTCAGGAAGGCTCGCTGTTCCTGGGCCCCTCTGGGGTGGTGGTGTGCCATTGTCCCGTGGGGAGAGCGACGCGGGCGTGGCACTGGTGATATCCTGACCACAGTGCGCATGTGCCAGGCAGTGTGGGCACTGGGCAGCGTGCTGGGGATGGGCAGCATGGAGCTTCGTGTGCAGCTCCCCTGGCATCACGACACTTGGATCAGCTCCGGATCCCAGGGCCTGTCGTGGAGACGCAGCAAAGTGGCGGGAAGGCGTGTGCAGGCCGAGTTCTTGTCCTGGACCCTCATGTCAGGCACAGAACAGGCAGGCAGTGAGCAGAGCCTGGAATGATCACATCGCACCCGGCTCAGTAAGAGCGCGGGAGAGAAAGCTGAGCTGACTGCCTGCAGCCGCTGCTCCTGAACCTGCTTGTGCCTGTCTGCTTCTGTCTGAATGATTACGCTTGGGAGAGAAGCCACTGTGTCACAGCAGCAAGGCAGGTCAGCCGCCAGATGGATTTAAGGGTGAATCTTTATTTCCTCCCAGTTTCTCCTGTGTGGCGGCCCTCGGGTGCCTGTGTGGAAAGAACAGTGTGCAGAGGAAGCCGGGCTTTCCTGGCCCTGCTCTCTGCTGTCTGCAGTCCCCAGCTCGGAACCCAGGCCCAGCCACAGTTGGCCCATGAGCTGCAGCAGTCACGGAGGGGACATCGTGGCCACTGCCGTGCCGGTTTTTAAGGAGAATTCTTTGCTGTTTAACAGAAATGGGAAGTTGGTACTCAGAGGCCCTTTCTGTGGCTGGCATTGAGTGTGTGACCCTCACTGTGGCCCCGGGGACAGGAGGAGCCCAGTTGGGGTGACTGTCGTCCGAGGTCACTGCCCTGGTGTGAGGGAGGGGACTACAGGAGGCCCTGCACATCGGGCCAAGGACAGTGCCTGGGGTCCAGGTAGAAATGGGACGGAGACATGGAGGCTTAGAAGACCCAGACTCAGGCAGTAGAGAAGACGCATTCCTAGTGCAGGGCTTTCAGTCTGCAGGACTTGGGGTGACAGGTGACTTCCCAGCCAGTGGAGGACTGAAAGTGACTCCTCTGTGTGACTGGGGTCCAGCCCTCGGGAAGGTGGGTCCCTGACTGTCCCTGCCCCTGTGGAAGTTGGGAGGCATCGCCTGCCTTCCTGCTGGTGGGTGTGGTTTCACGCTGGGCTGGGCTGGGCTGGGCTTGGTTGGCTGGAGAGGGGCCCAGGCTCCCTGCTGTCTGCCCCTTGTGGTTTGCCTGCCATAGCTGTGTGGTGTGGCTGTAGGGAAGCCTGGAAACAGGCAGGCTGTGGGCTATGGCGACCCCAGGACACTGACCAGTCCCCTGGCTCTGTTTGGGTTTGGATTTTCCATAGCACCACGGAGGGCAGAGTTGTTCTGCCAGCCCCTAGCGGCTGTCAGAGCCAGAGACAGGGATGGGGTGCTGTCCCTGTCCCGAGGTCCTGGGCTGCATTGTCGCTCAGGTGATGGTGTTGTGTGCTGCCTTTGGCCCCCAGCCCAGGCCTGAGTGATAAGCTGCTGACCACGGGCCCAGCTGCAGTTCCTGTGCCCGGCCACCATAGAGACTGTGGGAGTGGAGGGCCCAGGGCACAGATCCTCCAGAGGGGCTCTGTGCTGGGCTGGGCAAGCCAGGGGGTGTCTGCAGCCCCAGCCTTTCTCCCTGGAAGTGGTGAGCGAGTGGTGGAGGCGGGCAGGATGGGGCAGGGCAGCCCCTCTGCTGCCCACCTCGGGGTCTTGAGCGGCCTGCACCTGACATTGCCACGTGGTCACTGCAGGGGGTACTGTGCCCTGAGTGACCGTGCGTGCCCAGCTGGGGAGCCAAGGGGAGGCCCACGGTGTCTGGAGTGGTCCTCTGGGCACTTCTGCTCCCAGAGGCCTCTGCCCTGCACCGCTCCCTGTCCCTGGCAGCAGCAGCCTGCCTCCTCCCATTGCTCTCCTGGGTGTGAGAGGAGGGCGTCAGCTGCTCTGTCCACTTTGCCTTGGTGAGGGCCGGGCGATACAGGGTGGGAGGGCGTATGCTTCTTAACACCCTTAGCTGCCCCAGATATTTCTTAGCTGAGCTGTGGCTCCCTGGGTGACAGTGGTTCACCTGTGTGCTGGCTCTCGCTGGAGGATGTCCTGAGCTGGGTGCCAGTGGGCTCCTGGGGGTTGTGAGGGGAGCTGTGCCGCCTCGGGCTGCCCTGGGAGAAGGCCGGAAGGTCCTGTGCCTGCTGCCTGGCGTGGCATGCTGCGCAGCCAAGGCTCAAGGCCAGTGGGCATTGCTGGGGTTAGATGTGTGCTCCTGGGCTTTACTTGCCTCTCTTCCCCGAAGCTGTGCACGAAGCTTCCTTCTTGCTGACTTGGACTTCCTGTTTGGTGCCTTCGCCTATCTGGCAGCGCAGTGTCCGATGCAGCACCTGGCCTGTCTCCCTCCATGGTGTCTTGCGCTGACGGGTGGCCCCACCCTGGCTGCTCAGTGACCCTGGGGTTGCTCTCGTCCCCCGTGCCCTTACACGGCCTGCTGTGAGGTCCCGGTGTGCAGGAGGGGTGACTGAGGCTGCCCAGAAGCTCCTCCAGGGCCCTGTGCCCTCGGGGAGGGCAGTGGTGGGGGCAGCATTTCGGCCCTGTATAGGAAAAACAGAGGTGCAGCTCGGCAGTTTCGCTTCTCCAGGATCGCGTGGCCTGTGTCTCCTGGGTTTTCCTCCTGCCCCCTCTGCTGTCCTGGGTCCCGCTGGGGTGACACTGTCCGGGGTGACGTCCTGGGTGCGGCCCGGGGGAGGCTGTCACAATGCTGCTGAGCTCAGTCCCGACTGCTGGTGTCGCAGCTCACCACATGCACCTGGGTAAGAATTTAAGAATCTGAATGTGACATTTTGTATTTTCTATTTCAGTGTAGGAAGAATGACGAAGAGGACACGGCGGTGGTTGTGGAAAAGGACCACTTTATGGATGAACTCTTCCATCAGGTAGGTTCTTTGGGAGGCCGAGCTGACCGTGCGGGTCTCACATGCTGCTGTGAAGCACATTGTGGCCCAGGGTGACCACGGTCACAGTGCCCGGTGCCCTGGAGGCCATCGGTGCATGTGGGAGGGACGTGGGCACCTGGCAATGCACCCCTCAGCCTGTGCGACTGCAGTCAGCAGTTGCTGTCTGGGGAGGAAGCTCTCTGGGCTGTGTGTGCCTCAGGGTTCAGCTGACCCTGAGTGTGGAGGGCCAGAGGCTGCCCTGGGGGCTGCGGGCCTGGGCTGCTGCTGTCCTTGCTGTGCCTGTGCCCGGTGGCCCCTCCTCCATCCAGGAGCAGCCACCTGGAGGTCAGTGAAGATTTGGTCTTCACCCTGGCTCTGGATGCCAGCTCTCCCAGCCGCGTCCTTGTGAAGACTTCTTATTTCATGAGAGCCCCAGCGCTGTGTGGTTGTATTGATAGATGGTGGTGGGGCCATCAAGTCCACGCTGAGCTGCTGTAAGTCTGTTTTTTTGTTTTTTTTTGCTTTGTTTTTTTTTTTTTGAGACAAGGTATCCCTGTGCAGCCAGGCTGGCCTTGAACTCATGGTGACCCTCCTGCCTGAGCCTCCCAAGTGCTCCCCCATGCCCAGCTGAGAGTCTGTTTTTGCTGAGTGTCTGAGACACATGCAAAGCCCTTGTGCTGCAGACAGCTGAGTGTGGTGGGCCTCATTCGGATGCCAGTATATGCTCAGGCTTTTGTTCAGTAGTCGTTCTGCAGTTTATTTTTGTGAAATGGCTTCTTAGAGAAAATTTTTAGGAAATGGCATTCAGATCTAAATATTGTGCTGAACGATATGGACAGTGACAGTATTAGGGAAAGCCCGAATCAGTGCCCTGGGTCTGCATTTTGAGCCGATTCAAAGGCACGGCGCAGGTCAGGAAGGGGAGCAGATGAATGCCAGCTTTCCCATGCTCCCTGCGATGCTTGGAGCCACGTCACATGGCGCAGTGCACTGGCCCTGCCATCCCCATGGTGCCCGCTCTGGGTTGGAGCCACTTGGGGCCCCTGCTGCCTAGACGTTAGCCTTGTGTGTGGGACTCCCGGGGACCAAGGGCCCTGCTGCTCCCCAGCACACGCACCCCCAGACGGCCCTTCACAGTGGTGTCATCAGATGCACCCTGAAATGCAACTGCCCTGAATCCAGAGCCTGCGACTCTGTTCAGCCTTCATGGTGCCAGCAGAACCCTGAGGAGCATGGGTTTTACAGGGCTGCTCCCATGCGTTGGGAGGATGGAAGTGTAATGTGAAGTGTGAGTGCAGACAGCTGGCCTGCTGCCCACTGCCCACTACCCGCTGCCTGCCTCCGGCTGCGCTACATTGGGTTTGCCTTCAGCACCCCACTTCCCAGCGTGCTCCGGGTCTTGCGCAGGCCCTGTGAAGAGGGCCATGTGGGCAGAGCTGTGCCATGGTCATGCTAAGGCACGGGGCTTGCTCCATGTCTCCGAGGTGTGGGTGCTGGTCAGGCAGCCCTGCCCAGTGTGGTGCCTGAAGCCTCGGCCCCTTCCTTCTTTTCCAGCCTCAGCCTCCTCCATCTTGGGTCCCTTGTCTCGGGCTGGCCGGATGCCCCAGGGTCATTTCCTGCGTGGGTCCTCGTCACACCTGCAGTGACCTCCCAGGCTGCAGGGTTGGGATGTGGATGTGCATGGTGGGCAGTGGGTGGTGAGTGCGCTTAAGGTGCTCTGGCAGGGGGACCGGCTGGGCTCTGTCCTGAGGTCCTATCATTGTCTCTGCGGGGATGTTTGTGACTGTATCGGGAACGTGGGACCCAGGATGATCGCCCATCTGAGCCCTGTGTTTGGTCACAGCGCAGTTTCTCTCCTGCGAGGCAGCACTGTGGTTCCAGGGCATCTTCTGGGGCCGCTCCCCAGCCTCCCCAGTGATGTTCGAAGGTGCTCATGGCGAGCACGGTGTGTTCTGAAGCCAGTGGCAGTGGCCAGAGGAAAGGAGGACCCAGGATGGGCCAGCCTCATGCGGCATGTGGCTGGCGTGTCCTTGGCTGTGCTCATGTCGTAGTAGGGCTGCCCTGGTGCTGAGGACAGGTGCGTCTCCTTGGCACCATCTTCAGTGCGGTTTGGGCCTGGCTGGGGGTTGCTGAACATCCTGTTAGGACTGCTGGCCAGGACCGGCTGATGCTCACCAAGGTTGGGAAGTCAGCCATGATGCGGCTCCAGGTGTCACGGGGAGCATGGGAAAGGTGGTGTTCATCTGCTCCCCTTCCTGACCTGCGCTGTGCTTGCTGCACTCTGATGACTGCTGCCTCTCCCAGGTGGAGGAGATCAGAAACAGCACAGCTAAGATCACGCAGTACGTTGAGGATGTGAAGAAGAACCATAGCATCATTCTGTCTGCACCCAACCCGGAAGGAAGTAAGCTGGGGCTGTGGAGTGGGTCTGTCTGTGTGTTTCCCTGTCTGTGTGTTTGTGTGTGTGTGTGTGTGTGTGTGTGTGTGTGTGTGTGTGTGTCTGTCTGTCTGTCTGTCGGACCATCTGTCTGTCTCTGTGTCTGCCCATCTGTCCATCTGTACTCTGTGCATCTGTCCATGTGAGTTGGTCCATCTGTGTGTATTATGTGTCTGTCCATCTGTGTGTGTCCGTCTGTGTGCCTGTTTGCCCGTGTGCCTGGCTTTGTGGCTATGGACAGCGTGGATCTCTGTCCTCACTTCACCCCGCAGGAGTGGGCCTTGCAGGATGTTCTCAGGCTGCCTGAGTGGCCCCAATGCACAGCCCGGGGGGCCTGGTGTGCAAGGCCCCTGAGAACATGCTCACGGCCTTGCAGCAGCCAGGCATGCAGGGGTTGGGCCTGCGGTCTGTGTGGTGTCTGGGGCGTGGGTGAACTGGACAGCAGTGTAAGGGTGAGGTCAGCTGGGCTCTGTGGTCCGGGGGAGCTTTGGTGGAGCACGCGTATGCTTTGGGGGAGTGTGAGCAAACCCATGTGTGGGTGTGATGAGTGCAGCGGGCTCTGCAGGGCGTGGATCTGCACGCAGGCCTCGGGGCCCCATGTGTTCTGCGGGAGAATCATTGGTGGCGACTTGCAGTCTCCTCGTTCTGCCCTTTCTCACAGTGCTCTGCTGAGCCGCGTGGCCACACCTGTCCTCCTCATCTTCCTTCTGGGACAGGTGATGTTTGATGCTGCAGGAAGCAGCTCCTGCCTCCCACCTCGTTCCTGAATACTCGTGGGCAGGGTCCAGAGATTTTGTACATCAATGTTGGCTGAGCTCCTCACCCTGCCAATGAGTCCCTCCAGTCCTTTCTCCTTCGGTACTGAGCTTCCCCTCTGGGGCTGACTGTTCATTGCCGCTGCCTCCATTCACTGATGCCACCCTGTGTGGGCAGAGGGGGAGGGTACTCGTGCCCAGTCTTAGAGAAAAGGCACAGCTGAGGCTCTGAATTCTGTACAATGAAAAAATAAGCAGCTGGAGGGGTTCAAGGGGAGAAGGGCATCTAAAATGCTAACGTTTTACCCAGAGGGTAAAAGGCTGCGTCTAGGCCCTGCTCTGACATAGAACCGTTTCACAGAATGAGCTCGTGGTCATCTCCCCAGTGCCCTGCGTGGCCCTGCCCCCTGTGGCCCTGCCTGCCCTGTGTGGGCTTCTCTGTTGTCACATCCCTTCCTGGAGAGCCACCGCGTCCACCCGCTGCCTGCAGTCCTAGAACCCCCACAGCAAAGGCACATTTAACCCATCCAGTCTGGGGTTTCAGACATGTATTTGCCCACCATCCAGTGCTTTGCATAACATCTTAATTCCTAGGGAAATTTAATTGGGATAAATGTCTTTTGAGGAGTTTCTATCCAGAACAGCCTTCTGCCCAGTGAGAGTGGACAGCTGTCCTGTGGTAAACGGAGAGCTGTTGCTGTTTCACAGCAGCCCTTCTTGGCCTGGAGTGCAGCTGCCACGTTCTCTCCGTGAACCATGGAGTGGGAGGTGGGCCCAGTGGCGTGCTCAGCTGCTCCCCCAGTGGTAGCCCGGGGACGAGGGCCCCGGATGGGCTATCCCATCTGTCCCCTCCCTGCCCTGTGTACCCAAAGAACAGGTGGCCCTGCTGGGCCCTGGTGCAGGTGGAGCAGGGATGCAGGCTCTCCCACATCAGAGGGGCCCTGCCCCGAGGTGGTGTGGGCTCTGCACCTACTTTCCCACTGAGGTCCTGGAGGGTGCTGTCCCTTGTCTTCATCCTGGAGCTGCACGGACCCTGACCCCGCAGATGGGAGAGCTGCTGTGGTGTGTGCTGGAGCGGGGCATGGGCTTCTGTGCCATCCTGGTTCCTGGACGCCAGGGTCTCCCCAGCCCTGCCCATAGGCCCAGCAGGCCCGGATGGGGCCCCACCCTTAGCTCCTACTCGGGGCCTTCCGGGCAGAAGCATCTTGAGTGGCTGCCCCTTTCTGTGCTGGGAATCAGCTGACTTCCACTTACGACGAAAACCAGAGCCTCTGAGCATGGCCTGCATGTCCCTCAGCCTCCCTGGGTGCCCTTCTGCCAGGGCTCTGCTTCACCTCCTTTGCAGCTCCTCTGTTCCTGTTCTGATTCAGGTTCCCTGTGTCCCTGCTCTCTGATCAGGCTCAAGGGCCCCAGGCGTGGTCTGCACTTCTGGCTCTTCAGGAAGCCAGTGGGGTCGTGCCATCCCATTACTGTGTGTGGCCTTTCCCCTCGACGGTGGCCCAGGTCACTGATGGCTGCAGAGCTGGGGCAGTGGCACAGGTGCCAGGCAGCTGCTGGGGGATGGCCTGGCCCCGCCTTGGCTGCCGGTGGGACGGGGATGCAGCTCTTGTCCCACCTGGGCAGGGCTGTGAGCCAGTGGAGTTCAGGTCTGTGTGTGCGGTGGGTGGGAAGAGCGGGAGCCAAGCGCTGGCTGTGGGAAGGACGGCGGGAGCGGGCAGCATGGCTGTGCAGAGTGCTGCTCTCCTGGGTTGACTGGCATCACTTAAGTTGAGTGTGTAGCTCAGATACCCTATTTTTGTTGTTTTTGTTTTTGTTTTTGTTGTTTGAGACAGGGTCTCACTTTATAGTTTAGGCTGGCCCTGAACTCATTATGTAGCTCAGGCTGGTCTCGAACTCTCAGCAATCCTCCAGTCTCTGTCTCACAAGTGCTGGCATTATAGGTGTGAGCCACCACGCCCAGCCTCAGATGCCCTATTTTAACTTTTAAAGAAATCAAAGAAGAGCTTGAAGACCTGAACAAAGAAATCAAGAAAACTGCTAACAAAATTCGGGCCAAGTTAAAGTGTAAGTTTAAAATTTAGTGTTGGGAATATCGATAATTGCTGTTTTCTTCTTTTTAGTTTTTTTATTCTCTTACATTTTCAAAAATTGTGATCATTTCAAAACAAACTCTCTGTGTGTATTCGGAAGGACTACTACACACCCAGTAAGAGGAGGCATTGCTCATTCAGTTCCCGGGCTTTCCAGTCACAGTGAATAGTTCCTCTTCATGTCATTTTGGCATCGTTAACTTGAACTATGGTTAAGTGTGCTTGTCTTGGTGTTTTGAGACAGAGTATGGCTGTGTGGCGTTCAGCTCACTGAAGCTGCCTCAAACTTGCTGCGATCCTCTGGGCCCAGCCTCCCAAGTGCTGGGATTACAAGTGTTCTCCCCCTGCCTGGGTGTTTTTTTAACTGTAGAGATTGCTCTGTGTACGTATTTATTTTGAGATGGGGTCTCACCCTGTTGCCCAGCTGGCTTTGAACTCAAGAGATCCTCCTATCTCATCTCTGATAAGAAAGGAAAGCAGTTTGAGGGCTGGCTCGAGAAACTGAGCTTTATGTGGAAACCTTTGTCCTGTTTCCTTCCAGCCATCGAGCAAAGCTTTGATCAGGATGAGAGCGGGAGCCGGACCTCCGTGGACCTTCGCATCCGCAGAACCCAGGTGTGACTCTGTGCCTGCGGTAGAGAAGCGACGTGGGGAGGCAGTCCTTTCCTTCCTGCAGACCCAGGACAGCTGCCCTGCTGTCCTGTGCGTACTCACATTTCTGACCCCTCTTGAGAGTGTAGTTCCCGGTGCTTTCTGGGCAGGGTGCTGTGTATGGGCAACAGGAGGGGGCAGGGCATTTGCTGTGTGTGGACGCCCGTAGTACAGCAAGGTCATCGTGAGGGCGAAGGCTGTGTGACTGGTGGGAGGTGAACTAGTAAACCTGCCATGGAAATCGGCATGTGGAGTCCTCGGAAAGCTGAAAATAGACATTCCGTTTGGCCCAGCTCGACCTCTCCTGTTTGCCTTCCCCAAAGAGTTAAAGACACCATGCTGTGGGGTCCGTGCGCACCCACATTTACAGCGCAGGACTCGTAACAGTTAAGTCTGGGAAGCTCCCGTGTGTCCATCACGGGTGAACAGATCAAGACAACGGGATGCCTGTGAGCAGTGGAGCACTACTCAGCCAGCAGGGATAAACCCGAGCCATTGTAGGACAACGGATGCGCTTTGAGACCACAGTAACATCCAGGGGCAAGTCAGACCCACAAGCACAAATCTCACATGGTTTTCCATACACGAGGAACTGGATGTATAAATAATTTAAAGGACAAAATGAAAGAAAGTGAGGTAGCGATGCAGGGGAACGGGCGGGAGGGAAGGGTAAGTAAAAGGGTGCAGAGGGGTCGTGCACAGTACCATTGCCCATGAGTGCAGCGTGACGTACAGCAACACAGGCCCATAATAGGCCCAGGAAAAAGCATCCGTATGCACACGAATGGCTTCCAGGCTGCCCTTGCCCACCACAGGGTACCCCGACAGTGGGGGGCACCCCAGGACTGTGTATGGCCCCAGCCCCGGAGCATGCCACACTTGCCTCCCTGGAGGCCCCATGCTGTGCTCTGAGTTCTTGCTTAACTCTGCCTCATAGACCTCTCTGGCGCCAGGTTAGGGAAGACGCGCACATGCGGTCTCAGGGCAGACGCGGCCCTAGGCCGCGCCTCTGCTCTCCCACCCAAAGGAGGCTGCGCTGGTCCCAGCCCTGGCCCAGTATACCATACTGGTACACGTTGCGCTCACGGAGGCCGAGACCATTGCACTGATGTCCCTGTGTCTGCCGCCAGCATTCTGTGCTGTCCCGGAAGTTTGTGGAGGTCATGACGGAGTACAATGAAGCCCAGACTCTGTTTCGGGAGCGGAGCAAAGGACGCATCCAGCGCCAGCTTGAGATCAGTGAGTCGGGAGGGAGGGAGGGAGGTGGGGCTAGGAGTGCATCCCCCAGGGCCCTGCTGGGAGGCCCTGACAGCAGTAACTCCATCTGTCTTGCCAGGCCTGTAGAGCTAGGCCTTTCCTAGCTTCTTTGCCCAGGAATCAATCAAACCTGCTGCTTGTTCACAGCCCTCAGCCCTGAGTGAGGGACTTGCTGTTGCTTTCCCATTCCCAGCACTGGCAGCGCAGTGGCAGGGTTGGAAGTCCCCGGTGGGTGACGGGTCCGCAGGGCAGTAGGGTGTCCTCACCCCGGCCGGAAGCCTGATGAGCTCTGAGAGCTGCTGGGCTTCTCAGCTGAGCCTGGGAGGCCGCCACCTCAGCCTGCACGGAGGAGGGGTCCTGCTGGGGCAGTGATGGCCCGTCAGCGGGTCACTGCTTGCAGCAGTGGCAGCGGGAAGGCACTGAGTGTGTCTCTGTCCGCAGCCGGAAGGACCACCACGGACGCAGAGCTGGAGGAGATGCTGGAGAGCGGGAAGCCGTCCATCTTCACTTCGGACGTGAGTGTGGGATTGGGCTCCCGCCGCGGCGACCCCACCCCACCTCGGCTCACCTGGGCCCTTTACTCTGCTTCTCCAAGATCATCTCAGACTCACACATCACCAGACAAGCGCTCAATGAGATCGAGGCTCGCCACAAGGACATCATGAAGCTGGAGACCAGCATCCGTGAGCTGCATGAGATGTTTGTGGACATGGCCATGTTCGTGGAGACGCAGGTGAGGCGGCGGCTTCGTCCCAGGCCTGTCCCACTTCGTCTGAGCTGGCACCTTGGGCCCAGCTCAGAGTTAACTGTGGCGTCGGGTGTAACCCAAGAGTGCCAGGGGCAGGCGGAGCTTCCCACGGTGGGAATGGGGCTTGTCCAGAGTCAGCCCGTTCCCACCCTGGCCTTTGAGGCCACTGTGGCCACATGGGTGCTTCCTTCTTGTGGAGTTTACAGTGGAATAGATGCGGGTTTGTGTTGGCATTTCAGGTTAGGGTAAAAAGGAGATACGAGCATGGGACATGACTACCTACCACACACGTGTGTTAACTAAGTGTGTGAACACATGTGGCAGGAACTCAGCCACGGAATGTGGTTGCCCAGAGGAAGGACGCACACTGCAGGCTCCAGTGACACTGGGCCATGGCCAGGAGCTCTTGTGGAGCAGTCACAGGAGAGAGGCTGCAGTGCTGAGCTGCCCGGGCTGGCTGGGGGTGGGAGTGGGGGCAAAGATCTGGGGCCTCCACACTGGAGCTGGCTTGGCCTGCCCAGGTCGGGGTTCATTCGGCTGACTTTGTGCCCAGACGTCATGTGGCAGCCGTCCCACTCCAGGTGGGCCCCTTGGCACGTTGGCACCAGCAGGCTTTCTGCAGGCGGTGTCCATCTATGCTATGCTGGCCCAGGTGGTGCTGGCCAGGGTGTCTGCTGGCAGAGATCGGGCGGCCTGGCTGGGCCTCCCGCCTGGGCAGCGTGAAGAGTGGGGGCTGGGTCGGCTAATGGCTAAGTCACAGGAGGCGGCCTGGGGAGCCAGCTACGCAGGAGAGCAGGTTGATTTTGTAATTACCAAAGGTTTTGGCAGATGCTACATCTCTTGGTTGTCCCCTCCCATGCCAAGGTTTCCATGTGCATAGCTTGGCTCCTGTCTCCCTCGAGAGGTGCACGTAGAGCAGCTCACTGTGTCTGCGGGCAGGGTTGGCAGGAGGGACCTCTGTGCCTATCAGTCACCTGTCCGTCCTCCTTCACGGCTGTCCTCTTTGCTGCTGCAGACTTTGTCTCCTGGTGCACAGAGCCCAGGTAACGCACTCTGCGCTCCTCTACCTCCTCTTCCTCCTCCACCTCCTGCTTGGAGCCTCCAGAAGCCCACCCACCTCTGTCCACCCCTCATCCATGGACACCAGGCAGTTGCTGCACAGAGCTTACTGACACATTAAGGAAGTAGTGCTGGTTTGCCCCTGTAAAAGCTGTCCTCCTTGGTGTGCAATGTTTTGTGTGGTCGTGGAACATTCATCTGCCCAGTGTTGGCTGCCTCCATCCCAGTGCTTGCCTGGGAGACGCCCCAGTAGAGCATGTGTCCGAGCCCGCCCATCCGCCTGTGTCCGTGTCGAGATCACATTCAGTCCATCGCGTGGTGCATTTCCGATGTCTCACCCTACACCTGGCTGCGAGTGTGAGCTCCACCATGACATCCTGTCTGCATACACCGTGTCCCAGCTCCTGCGAAAGTGGCTGCTAAGGCCGGTCCTTTTGTTTTCAGGGTGAAATGATCAATAACATAGAGAAGAACGTCATAAACGCCACAGACTATGTGGAGCACGCCAAGGAGGAGACGAAGAAGGCCATCCGGTACCAGAGCAAAGCCAGGAGGGTGAGTGGCTGGGAAGTGCGAGTGTTTTCTCTCCATGTTTTGCATTGTTAGACACCAGTGCCAGATGGAAATGTAGCCCATAGCCCAGAAGTAAAAATTCCTTCAATAAATGTTATTTTAAAACTGAAACAGTTCTTTTTTCAAAGAATCATAAAAGTGTATCAGGCAAATTGAACGTAACCTATTTTGTGGTGAGTCAGAAATCCCTTCCCAGCTTCCGGGCAGTGCTGTCTCCCTTTCCAGTCTGGCTGAGCTTGGCAGGCTGAGTTCTGTTTCTGGTCATTACCAGGAGGGGCACAAAGCCACTGGCTCGGGGATCCCCCCCGAACTTGTTGGTCACTGTGCTGTGTGTTAGCGCTTACGTGGGCTAGGCTGTCCGTGGCTTCTGTGGTCTAGAGAGACAGAAATGTCTCTGAGCTGTGAGCCTGGTGCCCTACCCAGTGCCCTCCCATGGCATCCACTGGGACGGAATGGAGCCCCTTCTGCTGACCCAGGCTCTCTGGCCTGGGTACTAGGGGAGGTAGTAATATTCCCACCTGAATCCCAAAGGTGTTAACATCACACCATCTCAATGAATGCTCTCCCGAAAGACCATGAGCCTACAAAACCACATCCTACCTGGCAGGAGAACTGAGAGACTGAGTCTGTGCCAGGTGTGGGGGCCAGGTGGGGGGCCTGTGATCCCAGCACGTGGGAGGCTGAGGTGGGAGGATTGCAAGTTTGAGCCCAGCCTGGACAACTTATCGACTTAGCGAGAGCCTGTCTCAAAGTAAAAAGTAAAAAAGGACTGGGGATGCAGCTCTGTGTGAAGAACTAGTATTGTCAGAATGGCCACATTACCAAAACCAATTTATAGGTTTTCCACAATCCCAACAAAATGCCAATAGCATTCTTCACAACTAGAAAAATTTTAAAATTCATATGGAACCAGAGGAGACCCCAAATAGCAAAAGCAATCCAGCAACAAGAGCAGAACAAGTGGCCTCACAATACCAGATTTTAAGTTGTATTGCAAAGCTGCTGTGAAGGAAACAGTGAGGCACTGACACAAAAATAGGTGTGGGTCAGTGGATCAGGGTAGAGAATGTGGAAATAGCCCCTGGCACACGCAGATGTTTGCACTCTGACCAAAGGGCTAAAAAGTTCCCTGGGAGGAAGACAGCCCCTTTAATAAGTGTGCTGGGAAAACGGTCTTTTTCTTGTGCAGAAGATTGAACTTAGACCCTTACCTCTCACTATGCACTGAACGAAAAGCAAAATGGATCACAGACCCAGAAACTAAAACAGAAACATGAAATCTGATTGGAGAAAATAAGAGGGAATACTCTTGAAGACTTAGGCGCAGGCTGAGACTTTCTGAGCAGGACCCCAGTTGCATAAGAAGTAACAAGCAATCCGCAGTGGGTTTTACCATGTGGACTGCTCCAACAGCTTGCTCCGGCCTCGGTACGTACACACACTGTCCTGAGGCCACTCAGGCAGGCACTGTCTGAAGCAGTCAATTCTTGTACTGAATAAGTTTGATAAAATCGATTTTATATTTTCTGTTTTATTATCTTATGAAAATTAATGAAAAAATATGCAACTTTTGACCATCCTGTATTTAAATAATTTACAGGACTAGTAAGTGGTTGGTTAAAAGCTTCTACATTGCAAAGGAAACAACAATAGAATGAAGAGACAACCTGCAGAATGGAAAGAATTTGCCAGCTACTCCTCAGAAGAATAATGTCTAGAATATACAGAGCATTTAAAAGATTAGACCTCCCAAAATAAAAGACCCCATCAAAAAATGGGCAGCTTGAAAGAACAGATGTTTCTCAGGAGTACAGATGGCCAATAAATCGATGAATAAAATGGTCAGTATCACTGACCATGAGGAACGAAAATTAAAATAGCCCTGAGATTCTGCCTGCTGTAGCTGTATCTCGATGGCTGCATCTGCACTGCTGTATCTCAGCTGTGTCCTAGATGGAGCTTTTCAGAGGGGCTGGATTTGATGCTGGGATTAAGGGTACCTGCCCTTGGTGTGAGTGCTGCCCACCCTGAGGGCCTACAGCCTGGATAGAAGATAAGGGATGGAAAGAGGAAAGAGGGCTGCAGTGATGCTTCTTGTCACTTGCTGTGTGTTGCCTCTGCCTGCCCTGCTCTGCCATGGACTGTTCTCCTCTGTTTTGCCCCTCTGCCCCTCCCTCCACCCGCCTTGGAGCCATGGCCTCTGAGTCAGGACTATGAACCAAAACCTCTAGGAACTATGAGCTAAATAAACCTTTCCTTTAACTTTGGGTGTTGGGTATTTAGTCTCAGCCATGAGAAAAATAACTAAGACACCATCTTTGTCCTGAAGGAATGACTATCACCAAGAGATCAAATAACAACAAATGCTGGTGAGGCTGTGGGGAAAAAAAGGACCCTTCTTCACTGTTGATGGGATGTGAACTATGGCAACCTCAATGGAGATCTGTGTGGAGAGTCCGCAGTAAACTAAAAATAGAAATTCCACTGGACCCAGCTGTTCGCCTACTAGGTGTCTTCCAGAAAGCGTCACGGTCATCCCGTATGGGGGTCCACGCACGCCTGTTTGTAGCACCTCAACTCACAATAGCTGCACCTTGGAAGTGGTCTATATATCCACCCTGAGATAAAACTTGTATTTTTATATAATGCAGTACCTCTTTCTTCACAAAGAGGCACAAGTATGAATCACCATGGGAAAATGGATGCACCTCAAGACCGTAATCAGTGAGATAAATCAGACACCAAACTTGGACACCCCATGGTCTGTCTTATACGAGAAAGCCCAAGTATAAATGATTTAAAGGGTACAATAAAAGTTAGATCACAGGAAACAGGGAGACGGACATTTTACAAATGGTCAGGGGCTCTAGAGCCTGAGGAGGGTAAGTGAAAGGGATTAAGGTTCCATGTGTGCGTGTCACAGTTCCCCAAGAGGAATGATACGTCACGGGGTAGCATTTAATGTGCATTATGTGTACTAAATAAAAGAAAGAAAAAAGACAGAAGACAGGGACTTTGCCGCCAGAGAGTGCTCACTGCCAGGGTTGCTGGGCCACCTGCCTCAGCACCTGGACTAACATTCAGGGCATGACCGGAGCCCAGCAGCATCTGTGCAGTGCCGTGTCCCACAGGCTCAGCCCTGGCATCTGGCTCACACATGAATCACTCTTTGAAAACTCAGAGTCTCTCAGGGACCCAGCAGCTGTCTCAGGTTGTGGGTTTGGCAATGCGATGTGAGGGGTGTCTGGTGCTGTGGCATAATCAACTTGCTTTTCTTTGACAGAAAAAGTGGATAATTGTGGCCGTGTCGGTGGTGCTCGTGGCGGTGCTGGCACTAATCATCGGCTTGTCAGTGGGCAAATGAGGTGTGGATGCGCGGGATGCCTGCCTGTTTGCCAGGGCAGCAGTAAGTAACTAACCAGCTAATCTCCTTACAAGCTTCCGCGGTGGCCGGTGCTCATGTGTGCTGACTTTAATATTCTAAAGACCATAAAGCCTGTCTGCTGAGCTGTGTGGTGTCCTCTGCTGACACATCTGTGAGGGAGCACAGGCCAGTGGCCTCCCGTGGGCCCTCGGTGGCCATGGGCTGTGTCACCTGCACACAGCGGGCCTGGTTCTGCGCTATGCCAGGGAAGACGAAGCTGATGCCACTAACATTGCAGTTCAGGCTTTCATTGTCACTTCCAGAAGCTTTGCAGCAACTGAAAGGTGTTATTTTGTAAAATGTACTGGTGCAAGATTTTTGCTGTGGCACTGAAGAGTGGAACCGATGAAAACCAGTGCCTGAAAGCAGAATTCTTCATCTGACGTTTCTACACGGCAGGTCTGTCTTGTTTAAAACCCTGCCCTTGTCAGCACGGAAGCTGTTTGGTTGGAGCTTGGCTCCAGCTGGCCCTGAAACTCACGGTCTTCAGTTTACCCAGTGTCGCTGTGGTGCCCTGAGGGAGCCCTGCCTGCTCCCGGGCTCCTGGTCTCCCGCTGTTTTCCCTGATTTGGGGGTTGTCCTTCTGCACTGCCGTGAGTCAGTGCCCTGGAGTGGGAGGCCCCTGGATGCCACTGTGACAAGTGTGCAGGGTACCCGCTCCCGTGAACTGGGGCACAGGCTGGCTCGTGGGCTCCCCAGTACCACACAGGCCTGGTGTCATAACTGCTTGGGGCTTATTTTCTAGTGCTGGGGTTTGAACCTAGGACCTTAGCACTGATCTGACTCACCCACCTTTTTTTAGTTTTTTATTTAGTATTTTATTTATTTATTTATTTTGGTACTGGGGATCAAACTTGGTCCTTGCGCTTGTGAAGCAGGTGGCGGAACCACTGAGCTAAATCTCTGGCCCTTTAGTATTTATTTTAGTATTTTTTATTTAGTACTTATTCACTTTAGCATTTTACTTAGGGAGACAGCATCTCCCTAAAGGTGCCCAGGCTGGCTAGAGCTCGCCGTCCTCTGCCTCAGTCTCCTCAGCTGCTGAGATCACAGAACTGCGCCACCACACCTGGCCGGGTTTCTTCCTACATGTGAACAGCACATGTCAGAGGTGGTGGCATTGAGCAGATGAGGCTTCACGGCTTGTGTGCGACTGACACGCATGGGCCACAGAGGGCTGCTGCCCTGGTGCTGGCCATGCTGCCCACCTCCCTCCTGGGGGAAGGGCTCCGTCACTGTTTGAGTGGGGCTGGTGTCTGTGTGTGTGTACAGGCCTCCTTCCTCTTAGCTCTGCTGCAGAATGGCATATGTGATTTTTCTGTACTAACTGGTCCTCTCAGCATTCCCGCATCCTCTCTGAATTGCCTCCTCTGTATTGGTCCATGCAGTGCGGCTGCACCAGAGCTGAGGTTCTGGCCTGAGGTGGGCCCAGTGAGATGCCATGCGGCATTGGCCTGACAGAAGGAGGCTCCTCAGGGGGCCCTGAGTGCGGGCAGGTCCCCACCAGGCTCCCAGGACATGCTCTGAGGTCTCTGGTTGGCTCTGTGGGGTCACTGTGCCCCTCGGGCCCTAAGGGGCAGGCTGGACCCTTCTTGTGGTCAGGGCCCCACAGTGGCCTGCAGCGGGGTCAGGGGACAGGCCAGAGACAGATACCAGCTGTGGCGGATGATGGTTCCCACAGGCAGGCACCCTCTGTCACCTTCCCGAGGAGCCACGGGAGTGGTCACTCAACTCACAAGTGGCTGGGAGCAGGCAGGACGCCTGGGCTCCTGTCCTCTCTGTGCTGTGTGTCCTGCTGTTGGGGGCCGCATGGCAGAGGACACATCTACAGCCCAGGTGCATGGCCACTGTCACCACAACAGGTGCGAACTAGAGCTGCATACAGAGTGGGGTGGGCTAGGGGACTGGTTGGGGGCCCAGCTGCCCCTGAGCCAGGGGTGGGACAAGGTCATCAGAGGGCCAGGTGGCCCCCAGGGGACACAGCGTGGGCAGACAGTGGCTGCCAGGCTCTCATGGACTCTGGAGCGGGGACATTGTAGGGTGGGTCCCCAGGGCCATGCCCCAGCTCGCTGCTGCCGCTGCCTGGGAACCCGCAGCTCCTGCTGCAGGCAGCATTTCCTTTGTTGTTGGTATTGTTACTGTTTTTTGCCCCCTTTCGTTCTTTTTTTGGTACTGGGGATCAAACTCAGGACTTTGATCTTGTGAGGAAGGCGGCAGAACCACTGAGCTGAATCCCTTGCCCTATTACTGTTTTTGCGGTGCTGGAGACAGCGTGACACATCCCGTGGCTGTGACCGAGGAGCAGAGCTGCTTTCACCAACCGCACAGCCACCCTGCTTCTCCCTCCTGTGTCCCTTCCCTCAGCCGAGTTTCCTGAGGAGACCGTGGCTTCAAATTGTGGGAGGGTTTCTGAGGGTGCTGGCTTTCCAAAGAGAGGAAGAACGGAAGCTAAACGCTGCCCTGTGCTCAGCTGCCGCTGTGTGGAGGGCTGCTCCGCCATGTGGTGCCCAGCAGGTGGACGCACCGGGAGCAGCTCACAGGGCTGAAAGAGGTGCTGTCAAGGAGTCCTGGGTGTCCGGGTCAGGCACGGTATCAGGACGCACACGCTGCAGTGGCCCGAGGTGAATCGGTGCTGCATTTCTAACGTCCACGTCCAGCTCTTCCTGCTCGGTCGTGGAGGCCCACTGTCCCCAGGTGACCAGGACTTGTGTGGTTTCCTAGTCTCAAATTTCAGAAGGCCAATGTTAGGAAATGAGGCTGCTGATCACTTTCCTCTGATACATTGCAAATTCATGTTTCTCTTTATCTTGCAGAAAATGATGTTCATTATTATTTGTGTAATTATTTTGCTTGTGATCCTTGGAGTAATCCTCACAGCAACGTTGTCATAGCAACCACATCCCAGAGCTCATCATGGAGTCGAAGACCACGCCCTTCTCAGGCCACGCCCCTGAGCACCTTCCGGGTCCTGCGCCAACTTCGGATGGAAACCAGGAGCTAGCTTCCAGGCTGGGGGAGCCTGGTGGGTGTCTGGGGTGTGGACTTGGGCCCCATGTGCCGAATCCGCGATGGCCTGAGCCCGGGAGCCCCGCAGAGGCCCGCAGCTGCCTGGGCATCAGGAAGCACTGACGATTTCAGTTGGTGAAGCTGCCCAGTGTTAAAACCTGCAGGTGTAATAGGGTGCGGCTGTGAGGCTGTGAGACCCTGCGCGGTCGAGCCGCAGCTGACGCCTGCTAATCAAGAGACTTGTATCACGTGTCATCTGTGTGTGTCTGGCTTGCGGAAATAATTTTTATTCCAACACAGCTGTTTTGTACAATATCTGTAATTTTAAATGTGTATAAATTAATTGTGTAATGTACTGACATATTCGCTCCATTCGGTATGGGAAGAGCTGGCTCGTGCAGGAGCGAGGCTGCGCCCCCGTGTGGGCTTCTCCAGAGCTGGCTGCTCACAGTTCACCGCCTGGGGGCCTCGGGGCTCTGCGCCCTCCCCCTGCCTGCTGTGGATGCTGACCGAACAAGGCCCGCCTGCTCCGGTGAAGTCCTCATTTCGTCCTTTTTCCTTACCCCTGATAATAAATAACTAGTTACTGCGCCGCAAAGATGATGGTTTCTTCCTCGCTCATTAAAAATAAGGGTTGTGGCTGGGCGTGGCGGCACCTCCTTGTACTCCCAGCACCCTGGGAGGCAGAGGCAGGAGGATCACAAGTTTGAGCCCAACCTGGGCAATGTAGTGACTTAGCAAGACCTTGTCTCAAGCAAAAAGGCTGGGGGTGGCTCCGTGAGAAGGCCCTGGGCTCACACCTAGTACCACAACGACAAAGGTTGTGTTTCTCTGTATACACTGACAAAGTGAATTCAAGGTGGTGGTGGAGGGCGGTTTGTGGTCTCTGAACCTGAGGAAGTTATTTCTAGTTGTTAAGGAATTCTTAGAAACTTAAACTGTTCTGCAGCTCTCAAGTGTTCTTACCTATTTAATATTCTGCTGAGCTCTAAAATTTAATTCCCAGTTGGGGTGGCATCACAAGTATGTGGTCCCAGCACTCTGGAGGCTGAGGCAGGAAGATCACAAGTTCAAAGCCAGCCTAGACTACATAGCAAGACCCTGTCTCAAATATAGAATAACCCCAAACAAAAAACAAACAAAACAAAACAAAACAAAAAACCTAAATTCCCAAGAATTAAGAACGTATGATGCTTAAACATTTTTATTGCTTGTTGATGTTTTGGGTATAATCATGGTGATTTAGGCTTATGGATAGGATCTGCCTGAGAGTCAGCCCCTGGCCATGGTTAAGTAGTCACTTGGAGGCCATCAGTGTCGCTGGCTCTCAGCTCCCTCCTGTGCATGGGCCCAGGGCTGGGTCTCGATCCTGTTGGGCGTGACATGGATGTGCTGAGCCAGCCCCTGGGTCTGCAGGATGCTGGGCAGCATGGACTGTGTTCTTGTCCCTGGCGCCTGTTCACACACGCTGTGGCTTGTCTTCCCAGGCCCAGTGATGTGGCTGTGGGGCCGTCGCCTTGTCCTGCCCGGTCGCCCCCACACATCCCAGAGGGCAGTGGTGGCCGCAGTGTCTGAGTCCCATCCACATCTCCACTGTGCTCAGAATCAGATCCCAGACTCACTGTCACGGTAATCGTGCTTCAGATTCTTGGTGTTTGCATTAAAAATGTTCCCGGAGGAATGAAAAAGCAACTGGGTCTGTCTCGTCACTTTGGAGGCATTTCTGGGGACAGTTCGCCATCCATCCATCCAGTAACAAACTGTTCTGGTGAGAGTTACTCTCCCCTGTGGTGGTTATACAGAATAATGCAAATGGATAATTTTAGATTTTTCCATAAAATTAGTATTCCTTTTTGGTACTGATACATCTGTGGTACATCAGTGAATTCTGAGCTACATCTGGGCCTTTTTTTTATTTTAAATTTTGAGACAGGACCTCACTAAGTTGCTCAGGCTGGCCTTGAGCTCTCGATCCTCTGCCTCAGCCTTCCCTGGACCTAGGATCACAGGCCTGTACCACCATGCCAGGCTCAAAGTTAGTTTTTGATTTATTGTTGTTCCAGGCATCTGCTACCCATGTCTTGTGTGTCGGGGCCATGTGTCCTCCTGCACCCCGGAGCTTCAAGCCAGTGCTGATTCTGTGCATGCAGGCTCCATCTGGAAGTAACTTGTTTGAATTTTGTGACACTGGCTGGCCACCTGTGGGGATCCTCCCCTCCTGGGGTGCTGAGCTGCATCCCTCTCCATTTTTCTGTAAGTTGAGTCCCCTCAGCTCTGTAACCCTTCCTGAACTCAAACCCCGTTAGAAAGTGGTGTTCAAAAATCGGTTTTAAGGAGGGAAAATCCTGGAGAAGAGGGCTTCGTGCACCAGTGCCCACCCATGGGCTTCAGCTCCAGCCACAGCCCTGACTCGGTGCAGAGCCCAGCGGAGGGCCCTGACTGCCTCATCTCCACACCCTCAGCTCCACCGCCGGCCAAAGCCCAGGATAACAGAGATGGGATCCAGTGCTCAGGTGCACACCAGAGGGCCTGGTGCCTCTGTCCGCCTCTGCCTCCTGTGCTGGGCACGTCCTGGGCCGGGTCAGCAGCTTCACGGGTGGCAGCAAGATGCGGCCCTGCAGATGGTTTCCTCCGCTGTGGCCAGAAGTGGAGCAGCTGGGCACGTGGGCTCCCGTGGCTTCCTGTGTCAGGGCCGACCTGGTGAGCACTGCGCTGCCAGCGTTTAACTCCCGGACCTGCGCCAAGGTCTCTGTCAGCGTGGGCTGCAAGGGCGGCGCCCTCTGGTGTCTGCTTTCTTTATGTGTGGCGGGACACACTTGGGTGGAGGAATCCGCTCCGCAAATCTGGGGACCACGGAGGAGTCCCTTGCGGGGACTCCTGCGGGGCAGTGCGGCAGCGTCCTGCAGCGCGGGCTCCTCACACACCAGGCTCGCCCCGTGTCCACAAGTGGCTCCAGGCGTCGGGGCTCTGGGACAGCGTGGCCTGGGAGCTGAGGCAGGTGGGTGGGGCCGAGTGCGCGCCTCACCCGGGCTCTCCGTGGGAGCCGGGGGAGGCCCCAGACTTTAGCCTGTGTCCATGTCAGTTTCCATCCTCATCACCAAGCCTGTTCAGGTCCGAGCTGTAGGCTGGCTCCGTCCAGTGGCCACGGAAGTCCGCCTGGGGAAAGTCCAGTGAACCAGTGACGGGGACTGCGGTGGTGGAGAGGAGCTGGCCAGAGAAAGAACATGACAAAAGGAAGGAAAGAAGGAAAGGGAACGTGAGTACCACAGCAGCAGCTGGGCAGTGGGGCAGGATTCACCTGGGGCACAGCCCTGTGTCCCTGTTGGAAATTCTGCTGTACCGGTCTGGCACTCATGCTAGTTTCCAAGACCTTGCAAGATGTTGTCAGGTGTAATTCATGGTTTGCTCGGATGGCTTTGTTTGGTGTAGAGCTGGGATGGAGCGAGAGGTTCACAGTGCACTCGTGCCCAGGGCTGTGCTGCACCCCTCAAACACTCCACAGGGAGCTTGGTTCCTGCAGTGCTTTGCACTTTAACTACAGGGCACACCCCACACCTAGTGCAGCCCCAAGAGAAGGTGAGGATGAGGGTGAGGAGCCCTGGCCCCTTCTGTTCCTCCACCTGTGGCTGAGGCAGAAGTGGTATCTCCTTATCAAAGCTCGGCTGGCAGGCTGCGCCTACGGAGAGCCTTGGGACGCGTGCATTTCCACTTCCTCTTCACCCTGACCCCACAGCCCACAGTGTGCAGAGCACAGCCCTTACAGCCTAAGTCAGAATCCGTGTCATGAACAGTGGGGCTCGAGGACCTTCATGGTGGACTTGTTCGAGTCTGAGCGAGGTGCTGTGCCCTCGCCTCCTTCAGATATTGAGCCGTTAGCTAAGTCCCACCTCTCTGCACAGCAATACTTAACTTTCCATGTTAGCAGCTGAGCAAGCTGGACAGGACAGGGCAGCAGGGCTCCAGAGCTGACGGGAGAAAGGCTGCTGGGACAGGTCCACACTCCATCTGATGCAGACCAGGCAGATGGGTAGCGAAAGAGCCTGGCTCACCACCCCTGAGGACGGTACTCCTGCTCAGTCCTCCTTCCACACTGCCAGCCTCTGAGCAACATGCCCAGGGTTCAGGCAGGTTGTGGGGAGCTGTCTGACCAGATTCCGCTGCCTGAGCTGTAGAAGTCATGGGGCTGCGGCTGGCTTTTGAGAATGCTGCTGTGGAGTGCAATGAACTGCAAATCTCAGTCTATGTGAAAGCGTGTCATGACTGGGAGGGCACTGAAGGTCATAAGTTGTCTGTGTTTGCCAAGCTATGTTTGGTTTGATTGAAATCAGGCTTCTTCAAAGATACAATTCTTAATTGTGGCAAAACAGGACACAGCCCTGGGCCTCAGGCAAGAAAGGGTGCAGTTGTCCCTCAGGAGAGGGGGATGTCTCCAGGGAAATCGCTGAGCCAATCCGTGCAACCCCAGCAGCATGAAGATGGCTGGGGGAAACGGGGCATAGGCCCCACAAATAGTGGGACACTCCCCGTCACAGCCCCATGCCTGGGCAGCCTAAGGGCCTTGTCTCAGACCCGCCATCCTTGTTGTGCTTCTGCTCTGCTCTCCTTTCCTGGCTCCTCTTCTCCCCCATGAGGCTTCTTGTGTGGCATCCCTGGTCAGGTGTCCTGTCCACTTCACACAGTATCCCTTTGCTTCAGTCAGGGAGGCCCTGTTCCCTGCTGACAGCGGTTCTGAGGTGAGGACGGTGGCTCAGGTCTGTCCTCTGTCCTCCAGTGGGTGCATCGGGGGGGCACAGCTCCCACCTCTTCGTGTAGGGTGCTGGGCTGTGTCCCTGCTCTCTGCTGACTGTGGTCTGTGGCCCGGTCTGGACTGGCGGGAGGGGGCCTCAGCAGCTGTCCACTTCCTGGGCTGGCTCTTTCCCCGCTTTGCTGTCTTGGCCTCTATTCTGTGGTCTTTGGCCTGTGGGTCTTCTTCCTGGCGGGACCCCTCCTGGAGCTGGGCCCTGGAGGTCATGCTGAGGCCCAGGGGAGGCCGGCGTGGGCCGTGCCTCCTGGGAACGACTCCCAAAGCTGGCAGTGCCCTGGGCACCCGAGCCTGGCTTCCTATAGCTTGGCCGTGGGTGTCAGCACCATAGACCTCAGACCACTGGGGCCAGGTTCTGTCACATCTGGGGGTGTGAATACCACATTTATCCACGAAACAGGTGTTGCTGTTGTAAAATAAAGAGTGAAGAGTTGAAAACAAATCCTCTGAAAGCACTGGATGGCGTGTAGTTACCCAGCCTGAGACGGGCTTGCTGCTGTGCTGCTGGGGTGGAAGCAGGGCCAGGCAGGCGTTCACCACTGAGCCATGTGGTCGGCCCGGGGGCAGCCTTGGAGTCTGGTCTCTGTTCGGTGTGATCATGCGTGGTGACCATGTGCACGTGGGGGAGAGTGTGAACTTTCCCACATACACAGCGCTTGTGGGGAGTGAGCGGTGGAGGTCTCCTGGCCTCACTTTCCTCAGCTCTTCAGTCAGGACTTCTGGTCCCCTCTCTGGTGGCTGTCGTGCCTGCGGGGCACCTGATGGGCAGCAGAGGGCGCCATCAGCACCTGGATGTGGCTACTTCTCACTGACCAGCAGGGCCAGAGCGCTGTTCATCCTGGATGGTCTCCTG